TCAGTACATTAAAATGCATTCTGTCAGTCCCATTTTTTCATGGGGTGGGGGGTATTATTCTTAGAACTCTCTGTTCTTCTTTTCCAATTTGAATTAGAATTGCTCTCATAGTTTGTTTCACAGCAATTATTTTGTTGATTTTTATTACATAAAAAATATTTTGTTATTTTAAGAGTTTCAAATTATGATGGACCAATATAATGAAAATCATTCACTTATAAGGAATGAAGTATAAAATAATTTCCAAACTATAGTGTTAAGTTAAAGATGCAAGATGTTTAAGAATATGCAGATAATGCATCCATTAGTATAAAAATTGTGATTTATATATCCATATGTGTTTAACTGGAAAAAGAAGAGCACACTAAACCTAAAGCAGAAGAAAGAAAATAATCAAGATTAAAAGGGAAATCAATGAAATGGAGAATAGAAAAACAATAGAGAGAACCAATGAAACCAAAGAATGATTTTTTTTTTTTTTAAGATCAACAAAATTGACAAACGTTTGGCTACACTGACCAAGATAAAAAGAGAGAAGGCTCAGATTACTAGAATCGGAAATAAAATAGGGGACAACACTATTGACCTTACAGAAATAAAAAGGATTATAAAGGAATATTATGAAAAATTGCATGCCAACAAATGAGATAATTTAGATGAAATGGACAAATTGCTAGAAAAACACACACTACTGAAATTATCTCAAGAAGAAACAGCCAATTTGAATAGACCTATAACAAGTGAAGAGATTGGATCAGTAATCAAAAAAATACCAACAAAGAAGAATCCAGGCCTAGATGGCTTCACTGCTTAACTCTACCAGCCATTCGAAGAAGGATTAATACCAATTCTTCACAAACTCTTCCAAAAAATGGAAGAGGAGGGAACACTTCCAAACTTATTCTATGAGGCCATTATTACTCCGATACCAAAACCAGACAAAGACATCACAAGAAAAGATAACTACAGACCAGTATCTCTTACAAAAATTCATAACAAATTATTAGCAAACCAAATTCAGCAGCATATAAGAAGAATTATATACTATGGCCAAATGGGATTTATCCCAGGGATGTAAATTAAGTTTAAAATATAAATATCAATTAGTATAATACATTATATCAATAGAAAACAAACAAACTCTGCCATCAAGTCAATTCTGACTCATAGCAACCCTATAGACAGAGTAGAACTGCCTCATAGGGTTTCCAAGGACTGGCTGGTGGATTCAAACCGCCAACCTTTTGATTAGCAGCTGAGCTCTTAGCCACTGTGCCACCAGGGCCCCATCAATAGAATAAAAAGCAAAAATCACATGATCATCTCAATAGACACAGAAAAAGCATTTGATAAACCCAACACCCTCTCATAGGAAAAAAAAAAACTCAACAAACTAGGAATAAAATGGAACTTCCTCAACCTGATAAATGACAGCTATAAAAAACCCACAGCTAACATCATACTTAATGGTAAAAGATTGGATATTTTCCCCCTCATAGATCAGGAACAAGACAAGAATGCTCCCTTTCACCACTTCTATTCAACATTGTACTGGGGGTTTTAATTAGAGCAGTTAGGCAAGAAGAAGAAATATAGGCATCCAGATTGGGAATAAAGAAGTAAACTTATCCCTATTCACAGATGACATGATGCTGTATATAAAAAATCCTAATTAATCAACTAAAAAACTATTAGAACTAATAAATTCAGCAAGTTTGCAGGTTACTTTATCAAGATACAAAAATCAATTGTGTTTCTATACACTTGGAACGAACAATCTGAAAAGGAAATTAAGGAAATAATTCCATTCACAGTAGCATAAAGAATAATATTTAGGAATCAGTTTAACAAAACAAGTGCAAAACTTAGACTTCAAAAACTGCAAAGCATTGTTGAAAAAAATTAAAGATCTAAATAAATGGAAAAGCATTCATGTTCATAGATTGGAAGCCTTAACATTGTTAAGATGGCAATGCTCAAAAAAACTGATCTACAGATTCAACACAATCCCTGTTAGAATCCCAGCTGATTTCTCTGTACAAATTGACAAACTGATTCTAAAATTCATATGGAATTTCAAGGAACTTAGAATAGCCAAAACAATCTTGAAAATGAAAAAAAGTAAAAGGACTCGTACTTACCAATTTCAAAACTTACTACAAAGCAACAGTAATCAAGACAGCACGATACTGGCATGTAAATAGATACACAGATCAATGTAATAGAACTGAGAGTTCAGAACCCAAACATCTACGGTCAGCTGATTTTCAACAAGGATGTCAAGATCATTCAATGGGGAAAAAAAAGTCTGTTCAACAAATCGTTCTGGGACAAATGAATATCTACGTGCAAAAGAGTGAAGCTGGATCCTTACCTCACACCTTATAAAAACATTAAATCAAAATGGATTACAGACCTAAATGTAAAAGCAAAAGGTATAATATCCTTAGAAGAAAACATAGAAGTAAATCTTCATAACCTTGGATTTGGCAAAGGATTCATAGATACGACACCAAAAGCACAAGCAAGAAAACAAAAAAAATTTTTTCATTATAAAATTAAATACTTTTGTGCTTCAAAAGACATTATCAAGAAAGTGAAAAGATAAACCACAGAATGGGGTAAAATATTTACAAATGATATATCTGATAAGTGACTCGTACACAGAATAGTAAAGAACTCTTACAACTAAACAAAAAAACAAATAACTCAATTAAAAATCAGCAAAAGATCTAAATAGACATTTCTCCAAAGAAGATATACAAATTGCCAATAAGTACATGAATAGATTCTCAACATCATTAGTCATCAGGAAAATGCAACTCAAAACCACAATGAGATACCACTTCATACCCACTAAGATAGTTAGAATGAAAAAGTCAGATGTCAACAAGTGTTGGCAAGTATGTGGAGAAATTAGAACCCTGATACACTGCTGGTTTGAATAGAAAAACAGTCTGATGGTTCCATGAATAATTAAACATAGAGTTACCAAGTTGTTATTGTTGTTGTTGTGTGCCATGGAGTCAATTCTAACTCATAGAGACCCTATGAACTAGTCAAAAGGTGGAAATAGCATTACTCAAAAGGTAGAAACAACTCAAATGTTCATCAATGGACAAATGGATAAACAAAATGTGGTACATCCATACAATGGAATATTATTTGTATGAAGTACTGATACATGCTACAACATGGATGAACCTTGAAAACATTATGCTAAATGGAAGAAGGGAGTCACAAAAGATCACATACTATAAGATGTCATTCACATGAAAGTCCAAAATAAGGAATTCTATAGAGACAGAAGAGCCCTAGTGGTGCAGTGGTTAAGAGTTACTGCTGCTAACGAAAAGGTTGGCAGTTCAAATTCACCAGCTGCTCCTTGGAAACTCCATGGGGCAGTTCTACTCTGTCCTAAAGGGTTACTTGAGCAGGAATCGACTCGATGGCAATATTGTTTTTTTTTTGATACAGACAGAAAGTAGATTAGTGGTTACTTAGGGCTGGGGTGGGGTATATGGAGGATGATAGTAAAAGAACACAGTTTCTTCTTGAGGTGATGAAAATGTTCTAAAATTGACTGTGATTATGGTTGCACATATCTGTGACTATACTAAAAATCATTTAATTGTACATTTTAGGTAAATTGTATGATGTGTGAAAACCTATCTCAATAAAGCTATTTTTTGAAAAGGCATATTAACCCAAAGATTATTAGTAATAGTAAAATTTAGGATAAACATTGATTTGGGCTTAGATTCTTAAAACTAAATTTTAATAAAACTCAATTTTAATAAAACTCAATTTTACTTAAAAAATAAAAGAAACTTTGAAGACTAGGAGATATGCCATCAAGTTGAGGATAAACTGCAGAGGAACAAGGGAGACCCATCAGAAGGCTATTGCAGTAATCCAGGAGAAAGGGAAAGCAGTTGGGACTATGGTGGTAGCCATGGAGGTAATAAAAAATGGCTTTGGGAGAATAGTATATATAGATGTATAAAGTAAGAAGTCAAAGTTTACTGACAACTGAATCTCTACCTACATGCATGTATACATTCATACAAATTATAAATGAATAATATTAAATATACACAATCCATTAGCATTTACATAAAGTTACCTCAACAGGCTTTGTACATTTTGTGCTAGGTAATTTAGTGAATATAGCAAATACAATTTAAAGTCACTTAACACTAATTCAGTTAGAAGTATCAGCTTTAAGCACACATATACACATAGTACACGTAACACTTAGTATTTTAAAGCCTTCTTTAAATTGTTAAAAATCAAAAATGACACTTTAAGGACTAAAGTGCACCTGACCCAAGCCATGATGTTTTTGATCACCTTATGTGCGTGTGAAATCTGGACAACGAATAAAGAAGACTGAAGAAGAATTGATGCTTTTGAATTATGGTGTTAGTGAAGAATATTGAATATACTTCCAGAAGAATGAACAAATCTGTCTTGGAAGAAATACAGCCAGAATTCTCATTAGAAGCAAGGATGGCAAGACTTCGTCTCACAAACTTTAGACATGTTATCAGGAGTCCCTGGAGAAGGACATCATGCCTGATAAAGTAGAGGGTGAGCAAAAAAGAGGAAGATCTTCAAGGAAATGGACTGACACAGTGGCTGCAACAATGGGCTCAAGCATAACAACGATTACAATGGGGCAGAACTGCACAGTGTTTTGTTCAGTCGTACATAGGATCGCTATGAGTTGGAACCAACTAGATGGCACCTAACAACAACAATATTCTAAACTCAGATCAATAAATATTTTACAAAATAAATATTTTTAAATGGTACTAAGAAAGTTAGGTTACAAAGTTGTTGCTTAACATTTTCAGCTTAGATCAGGAAACATAAGCAAATTGAGAGATTTAAGAAAGCCAATATTCTGTTAAAATTGGTTGCAGCTGCTGCAAAATGAATACTACAGACATCACAAAAGCATAATTTGTTTGTTAAAACAATACCTTCCTTGCTAGTTTGAGCTACAGCTTTATAGCTCTAAAAAAAAAAATGGTAATAATTTACATAAATGGTTTTAAATATGATTCAAATTAAAAAGACAACACTAATATGATGCTACTTCAAATGATTAAGAAATTTTACCTGTTAGCAGGGTAAAGAGGTTAAGTCATCTCAGTTAATTTCCTGTAATACCAAAGGGAATGCATTTCACCCTGATGGAAGGGTAGATCTGTGTCATAGTCCTAGTTCTGTCATAAACTGGCAATGTGAAGTTGAACCCTTGGCTTCTCTAGGGTTTTGTTTCCTCTGCTATAGAAATGAAGGAGTTTGGTTAAGGTAGCCTGTGTGGCTCTGAGAAGACATTTAGGGTGAAGAAATGGACTTTTTATAACATAGATGGACTTGTTTTATTTTCCACCTGTGCAATACCATAATTCAGAAGTATTCTACAGTATTATTCTGGAAAAATTTTCCCACAGAATGCCAGTATTACTAATGACTGATATTATTTAAGCAGAAAACAGAGCATCAAACCATAACAATTTTGCTTAAAAAAAACTTTAAAAGGCTGGTGATATTTGGGTTTAAAATGGTGTCAGAATATCTTGCCTTTTAATTTTAACGAGCTAAAAATCTGTGCAGGAAAAGAATGACAAAGACATTGTATTATTTAAGTCTTTATCTTGATATGTAATCAATGCATGCCAATTGAGAAGTAAATACCTTGAAATTCTATCAAGAATGTAAAGGTAATGAAAACTGGTTCCCACAGAAAAGATGATTCCTTCCACTGAAATGCCACACAAAACCACAGGGATCTGAGTGAATTGAACAGAGATAAATAAGGCTATCATGACCAAAAATGTTTTATGACCCAGCATGCGTTTTCTATTCTGGTGACTGACACATGCACATCTTGCCCTAGTCTAATGGGTTCTTCTTTTCTGTCCCCATCACAAGGACCACTTCAGAGGTTTCTAGTTGAATGCCGTTGCAGGTTTCTTACAAATCCTATTTGTCTCAAACTGACAAGGAATATTATTCCAGCCCCATTTATCTTTTTCATTAACAATGACAGCACAGCGTTCTTCCTGATGGTTGTTGGGTTCACCTTTATGCCAGAATCTAAAAGGGAAGAGAAAAAAAGCAAAATCATAGGTCAGTGACAATGCAGAGAAAATTCCCCTGGTGAACAATTGAGAGTTGTGCTGTCCAACACAATAGTCACTAGTCACACGTAGCTATTGAGCACTTGAAATGTGACTTCTCTGTATTGAGATGCTTTAATTGTAAAGCGTACATTGTATTGCTGATACAAAAGATTTAGTACAAAAAAAAATGTAAATGTCAGTAATACTTTTTATATTGATAACATGTTAAAATAAAAATATTTAGATATATGGGTTAAAATGTATTATTAAAATACATTTCACCTATTTCTTTCCACTTTCTTAATATGGCTACCAGAAAATTGAAAATTACATATATGACCTAAGTTTTTACACAATTTATATTAGACAGAGCTGGTTGGAGGAAGAATATGACAAGATTATAATTGTTTCAAAAACAATTTTTATTTCTTTGTATTTTCCACAAATGTAAAGCCTAAGAATTTTTTTCACACTACTCCCATGGTATCCATTCTTTCACTGGCATTGGACAAATAAAAAAACTGAAGGAAAGTTCGCTGAAGTCATGACTTCATTCTGTAACTGGGGAAGAGCATATAAAGGTTACTCGATGTATATTGTTGTACTCTGAGTAAGCATGCTCATCCTATAATAAATTCTGCCTGCTACCTTCATCTCCCCTTTGCCTATAAAGCCCTCTAGCCCCAGTCAATATACTTACACCATGTCTGGGTTAAATGGCGTCCTGTCCAACCACTGCCACTGCCCTTCACTGTTCTGATTTGTAAGTCCCAGGAAATAGGAAAATTGGGTATTCAAAAACTGAATAATAAAGTTCTGTGTAAAAAAGATAAAATTTTATAAATATGTTTGCACTTACGAAGTGATGGCTGTTATGTTGGAGAAAAAGGAAAAAAGTCAAATAGATTACTGATTACATGCAAAAGCTTTGGCACCAGACAGATCTGTTTTCCAATCCTCCCTCTGCCATTTGTTCAGTAATGTTAGCAGGTGCTTTCATCACCAAACTCTAGTTTTCTCATCTCCAAAAGGGCCAACTCCACTATTTCACAAAGTTACTGTGAAGATTAATGGAGATCAGATTTGTAAACCTCTTAACGCAGTGCTTATTAGGATTGGAATTTTAGGAGATTTTGTTTTTAAAATTGCTTTCTTTATTTGCTTGTGTATTTTGTTAAATTCCATTTTATTCAATGAGTCAGTGAACCTGCAGACTGAAAAACCGTAGAGACAGAGTCCTCTAGGAAACCCTGCTACCAAGAATAAAAAAGAACCTGAGTAATACTACATATACAAAAATAAATTGCATGAAGAAAAATTTTAGTTTTTTTAGTCTCTTGGACGGGAAGCACCCCGGTGTCGCTTGGATTCCACTGGCCCGCACTGGCTGGCTCCCTGAGTGCCTTTTGTTGGCTGCTGGTGTTGCTTTTTTCCACTTCTGTAGATTTCTTCCTTACCTCTCACCACCTCCCTGTCCTTTCTCTCAAATACCTGGCTCTGTGCACCATCTTTGCTTCTTCCTGAAATGCTGCGAAACACCCACTGACTGTGAAATTCTTCCCTGCCTGTGCTGGCCGGTAGGACCCCCCAGGGCTTTTTTGATTTTTGGCTCTGATTTGTTTTGTTTTGATTTGTTTGTTTGTTTTCTTTCTCTTTTCTCGGCTTGGGAGCCCGGGCTAGCCAGGCATTACTGTGAGGCTTGGAAGCTACTCCCCTACTCTGCACAGAGGCACAGCGACATCCCTGGGGGAATTTCTTTTTTCTTGTTTTTTGGGCACTTCTTTTGTTTTTTTTTTTTTTATTGTTGTTGTTGTTGTTTGTTTGTTTGTTTGTTTTGTTTTCTTCTCTCCCTTTTTCCCTTTTTGTCTTTCTTCATTTCCAGTTTCTCGATTTATTCATTTTTTTCTTTTACCCTTTTTCTTTTTTTTTTCACTTTTGTTTTTCCTCATTTCTCAGTCTGTCATCTCTCCACTCCAATAGCAAGCACCCTTAGCATTCTTTTTTGTTTGTATGTATGTTTTTGGCTCCTGTTATTTTCTCCTCTCTCTCTTCTTTCCCATACCTATCTTAGCTCCACACATCACAATCTATCCCCTCCTTCTTGCCTACCTGCACTGTGCACTGAACATCACAACCCCCAGCAGCACAAGCACAGCCTACTGGAACCTGCACTGCACTGATTTCCGGTCGGCCCTGTAAGCCCTGGTACATGCCACAAACAACCCATCCTAGCAACTCCCCTTCAACTGGACCTGACCTGCTGTACCATACCTGAGTGACTGACCCTGCCCATTGGAGAAGAAGGTGAAAAATCTCGTGCCCACAGATGAGCAAACAACAAAGAATGCACAGCCCGCCTGCTCAGACATAACCAAATAAAACAAAAAAGAAAGACAAAACAAACAAATCTACAATCAATAAACAAGGAAAATAACCATTGAATGCCTCAAAGACAGCAGACAATATCAAAACATTTACAAAAACTGGACAGGATGGTTCCAGTAGGCATCCAAAATAAAACATCAGATGACCTTTCAGTAGAAGAAAATCACTAGAACTAACTAATAGGGAATTCAATCCCTAATATTCAGAATTATCCAAGGTTGAAGCAAAAAGAAGACAAAAATGAGGGAAAAATAGACAAATTCATGGAAAAAGCAGACAAATTCACAGAAAATACAGACAAAAAAATGGAAGAATTCAAGAAAATAATACAGAAATAAAATGCTAAAATAAATTCACAACTAGAAATCTTACAAAAACAACAATTGGAAATCCAAAAGATAAACAACAAGATTTCAGAAATGGGCAGTGTCACAGAAGGGCTGAGGAACAGGCTTGAAATGATGGAATATAAGATCAGCAAAATTGAAGACAAACACGTGGATACAACTCTGTTTGAGGAAAAATCAGAAAAAAGAATAAAGAAAATGAAGAAACCCTGAGAATTATGTGGGATACAATCAAAAGGAAAAATCTGTAAGTGATTAGAGTTTCAGAACAGGGGCAGAAAACAGAAAACACAGAGAGGATCATTGAAGAACTGCTGACAGAAAACTTCCCCAATATCATGAAAGATGGAAAGCTGACCATCCAAGAAGCTCAACAAAACACATATAGGATAGCCCCCAAAAGAAAATCAACAAGGCATATCACAATCACATTTGCTAAAACCGAAGACAGACAAAGAATCCTGAGAGCAGCTCAAGAAAAACAAAAAGTCACATACAGAGCAGAAACAATTAGATTAAGCTTGGATTATTCGGCAGAAACCATGCAGGCAAGAAGGCAATGAAATGACATATATAAAACCTTGAAAGAAAAAAATTACCAGCCAAGAATAAAATATCCTGCAAAACTCTCATTCAAATAGGATGGTGAAATTAGTTCATTTCCAGATATACAGAAATTAAGGGACTATGTAAAAACAAAACTGAACTTACAAGACTTATTAAAAGGAGTCCTTCGATCTGAGAACAAACAACATCAGACCACAGGCTGAATATAGGACACAGGATTGTACTAGCCAGATACCAACCTAAGAAATGAATTCTTAAGGACTATGTAAAACCAAAAGAATTACAACAGGAAACCAAAGAGGTTAATCTGTAAATGACAATTGCATCAGAACAATATAAGAGGGAATAAACGGTGTAGGTATAGAACCTTCTAATGGAGAGGAAGGCAAGGTGATACCAAGTAATAATAGACTGGTTCAAATCAAGGAAGATAAGGGTAAATCCCAGTGTAACCACAGAGAAAGTTAACAAACCTACTTATCAAAATAAAGAAGAAAAACATAAAGTCTCAGTGAAAAAAAAACTACAAAAACAGAAGAAATGAAAAAAAATCCACAAAACAAAAGGAACTCAGCACAGGAGAGTAAGAGGAGCAAAGAAAACGTCAGCACCACAAAAAAAAAAGCACTACAAAATGCAATCCCACTCCTAGGAATATATCCTAGAGAAATAACAGCTGTCACATGAATAGACATATGCACAACCATATTCATTGCAGCACTGTTCACAATAGCAAAAAGATGGAAACAACCTAGATGCCCATCAACAGAAGAATGGATAAACAAACTATGGTACATACACACAATGGAGTATTATGCAAAGATAAAGAACAATGATGAATCTGTGAAGCATCTCACAACATGGATGAAACTGGAGGACATTATGCTGAGTGAAATAAATCAATCACAAAAGGCCAAATATTGTATGAGACCTCTACTGTAAAAACTCAAGTAAAAGTCTACATACAAAAAGAAACAATCTTTGTTGGTTACGAGGGATGGGGGGGAACTAAACAGACAATAGATAAGTGGTAACTTTGGTGAAGGGTCCGACAGTACACAATACCAGGGAAGCCAGCACAATTTGTACAAGGAAAGGTCATGGAAGCTCCATAGACACTTCCAAACTCCCTGACGGACTGAATTGCTGGGCGGAGGGCTGTGGGGACCATGGTCTCGGGGAACATCTAGCTCAATTGGCATAACACACTTTATAAAGACAACGTTCTACATTCTACCTTGGTGAGTAGTGTCTGGGGTCTTAAAAGCCTGGGAGCAGCCATCTAAGATACCCCACTGGTCTCACCCCTTCAGGAGCAAGGGAGAATGAACAGAACAAGATACAAGGAAAAAAGTAGTCCAAAGGTCTAATGGACCACAGCTACCATGGTCTCCACCAGACTGAGTCCCGTGCAGCTAGCTGGTGCCCGGCTACTACCACTGACTTCTCTGACTGGGATCACAATAGAGGGTCCTGGATAGAGCTGTAAAAGGATGTAGAACAAAATTCTAACTCACACACACACACACACAAAAAAAACAGATTTACCAGCCTGACAGACTGGAGAAACCCCGAGAGTATGGCCCCCAGACATCCTTTTAGCTCAGTGGTGAAGTCACTCCCGAAGTTCACCGTTCAGCCGGGAATTGGACAGCCTCATAAAACAAAATGGGACTAATGAGGCACAGCAGTCCAGGGACAAGGACTCGAAGGCTGGAGGGGACAGGAAAGCTGGTGATAGGGAACCCAAGGATGAGAAAGGACAGTGTTGGCAGGTTGTGGGGTTGTTAACCATTGTCATAGGGCAATATGTGTACTAACTGTTTAATGAGAAACTATTTGTTCTGCAAACCTTCATCTACGGTACAAAAAAAAAGAGAGAGAATTAGCTATGTGAGATCAAATTGACAACAGCAACTCAAAAGGTTTGATGGGAAACCTAGGGGGCAGTGAGTTGAAGATAACAATGATCAAATAATTTGGAAAAGGATAGTGAAAATAGCAGCACAACTGGAAGAATGTAATCGATGTCACTGAATTGTACATGTAGAAATTTTTGAAATGGTGTAACTTTAGCTATGTATATTTTCACCAAAAAAAAAGTCCTCTAAGTTCGAGAAGGGAGAGTGTTGACATGTTGTGGGGTTGTTAACCAATGTCATAAAACAATATGTGTACTGACTGTTTAATGAGAAACTATTTGTTCTGTAAACCTTCATCTAAAGTACAATAAAAAAATAAAAAGAAAAAAATTTTAGTTTCTAAAAAAAATGAATTTACATTAGAGATTTCCTTATTTAGAATTATAATCATACATCTGAGCTATTTTCCTATGCTTTTTCCTGAGATGCTACTTCAGTCCTTATTAACCATCCATTTATTCACTTATTCACCAACATTTATCAAGACCTATCCATCATTCCTGGCACCGCATAGAACACTGGAGATGCAAAGATGAGTGAGCATGGCCCCAGCCCTCCCCAATGTAAGAACCAATGGAAGAGATGAGTAGGGAACAGACAATTACAGTCCACTCTAGTAAGTCCCATGAAGTACCAAGGAAGTACCTCTAACTTCATATAGGGAGGGTGGAGTAGGGAAGGTGGTACGGCGGTAGAGAAGTTTTCTGGAAGAAATAACTTCTGAAGCAAATCTTGAAGGACCAGAAAACACTGGCCATATTTAAAATAAAAAAAAAAATGAGAGAGGAAGAAAAGGCTTTCCAGGCAGATGGAATAGATTAAGCAAAGGCACAGAGGCGTAATAAAGCAGAAAAAATCTCTTTCTCTGCAAAGAGATTCATAACCAGCAGAGAGAAGCTGATGTGAACCCTCAACGTACCTGCTCAGCCTCTGTGCTGATGGTGACTAGGTTGGCCCCCATCCCTGTACAGTTTCTTACACTCTCAGCCCAGGTCTTGTTGTCATTAAGAATAATATAGCAGTTGGACTGGAAGGCTCTCCAGTCAACAGGACAGCAATTCCAGGTGCTCCCTCAGGTGAAAGTTGAAATGGAAAATAGTTACAAGGCACATTTCATCTGTAACAGGTTGAGTATTTTACTGCTCAATATCCAATTTACCACTTGTGGGAATAAGACCAAGATTACCAAAAACATTCTGTTTCCTCAAAAATCCTGAAAATTACAATTCTAAATATCTTCTAAGCAGAAGCATCTGGATCACAGAATGGCTATGAGAAAATTATAAAGTACTCTCTAAGAAGACGTGATCATTATTCAATATCCATACATCTATTTAGTTTCATATTTTAAGTGTTTTCATAACAAAGCCTTTTACAGGGCTTTTTATCTGAAGTGAGCAAATAAACTGCCAAAAGTCTCAAACATTTCTCCTTCTCCCAAATAAGACTTCACAAATTCCAGAAATTAAAACAGATAAAGGCACTTCAGCAAAGCTATATATTCTAGGAGAAAACTGTCCTTATGATATGTCTGAATCAAGGAAAAAAATGAATTGAATTAGTATATGTTTTCAATATAAAAAACAGCCCATAAATGTGTTAAATTATATTCTAGAGTTAGTCAACTGATTACAGTCATGGGAAATAATTCCATCTCAATTTATCAACGTTCACCTTTGTGTCAGATCCTCATTTTATGATATTTTAATCTCTTCTGGTTTACTACTGATATTCTTTAAATGATATTATGAATTTGAATGGAAATTAAAAAAAGAAAAATTCTCGTATGTTCTCTGCTATCTGTACCTTTCATTTTTGATTTCTCTCTGATGCACGTCAGCATGCTGTGGTACTCTGGTAACTTGAACACTCTGGTGCCTCTTTTACAGCGTAGAAATTTGTGATGAGTCACTGACAAGGAAGAAAACAAGTTAATTTCCTTTCCCGATATAACCACTTAATTAGGGAAATGAGGACTAACCTCTCCAAACTTTCTCTTACCATGATAGTTACCACTACTACTTGTCATCGAGTTGACTCTGACTCGTGGTGACCCCGTGGAGTCAGAGTACAACTGTGCTCCATAGGGTTTTCAATGTTGATTTTTTAAAAGTAGATCTCCAGGCATTTTCTCCAAGGCACCTCTGGATGGACTTGAACCACCAACATTTCAGTTAGTAGCTCAGCACCATAACCATTTGTACTACCAGGGAGTCTGCCATAATAGTTAAGACCCCCACATTCTCTTTTTGTTCCCACCTAGTTTCTTTGTTCCAGCTCTTGGTGAATTGGTTGAAAATTGGTGGAAAATTAATACTTTTCTTATCATATTTCCCATTTTGTGCTTTTCAAGGGTAGTTGTATAAATATTTATGTGCATGTGCTTTTTTTTTAATTGTGCTTTAGATGAAGGTTTACAGAGGAAATTAGTTTCTCATTAAACAATTAATACACATATCATTTTGTGGCATTGATTGCCAACCCCAAGACGTGTCAACATTCTCCCCTTCTCAACCTTGGGTTCTCTGTTTCCATTCATCCAGCTTTCCTGTCCCCTCCTGCCTTCTCATACTTGCCCGTGGGCTGGTGCCCTCTTTAGTCTAGTATCCATGGTTGAGCTCTGTGTATTATTGTTTGTTTTACGGGCCTGTCTAATCTTTGGCTGAAGGGTGAACCTCAGGAGTGACCTCAGTACTGAGTTAAAACAGTGTCGGGGGCCATACTCTTTGGTGTTTCTCTAGCCTCTGTCAGACTGTAAGTCTGGTCCTTTTTTGTGAGTTAGAATTTTGTTCTACATTTTTCTCCAGCTCTGTCTGGGACCCTTTATTGTGGTCCCTGTCAGAGCAGTTGGTAGTGGTAGCCAGGCACCATCTAGGTGTGCTGGATTCAGTCTGGATTCCGTCTGGTGGAGGCTGTGGTAGTTGTGGTACACTAGTCCCATGGACTAATCTTTCCCATTTGTCTTCATTCTCCCTTGCTCCAGACGGGGTGGGACCAGTGGTGTGTGTATGTGTTTTTAAGCATATTTTTATGTCAGAGTTTGTGTTAGAGTGTATATTTTTGGTGAACACTGGAATAGCTCTGCAAAGTTTTATAAGCCTTTTGCATTCGTTTATTTTTTAAAAAGTTTTTCTGTGAAATATAACGAAACATAGAAAAGTAGAAAAAAACATTAATGTATAGTTTAACAAATTATTGTAAAGAAATGCTTAATATAATAAATACCTAGGAAGAGAAATAGAACGTTGCCAACACCGCAGGTAGCCTCCACCTCCCAAATGCAACCCACTCCTTCCCCCTTAAATGTAACCACCTCAGGGCTTTTAAAACAATCACTTCTGTGCTTTGCTTCACAATTTCACCACTTAACAACATATCCTTAAACCATACAGATCAGATTTACTTGCTTTGAAACTTTATATAAATGGAATGATACAGTATGTATTCCTTTGGGTCTGACTTCTCTCTGCATCTTGTTTCTAAAACGTACCTAAGTTGCATGCAGCTATAATTCGACCACTTTCATTGTTATAAAGTGATCTATTGTCTTAATGCATTAAAATATATTTATCTATTCTACTTCCCATAGATATTTCCATTGTATCTAGTGTTTAGCTATTGTGAACTATGCTGCTATGAGCATTTTTGAATAGGCATCCTAGAGCACATAAGCACACATTTTTCTACAGGCTATATGCCTAAGAGTGGAATTGATCATAATAGGGTGTACATATTGTCAGTTATGATAGTGTCAGACTTTTCCAAAGTGGTTATACTTCTCTATAGTCCTGTAAGCAGCAATGCACTAAAGGTCCAGAAGCTTCACAGCATTGTCAATATTTGGTAGTGTCAGACTTTTCCATTGTTGCCATCCTGGCATGTTTATGACTGTATCTCATTCTGAGTTGAATTTGCATTTCTCTGATAACTAATAAGGTTGAGACTTTTTTGTATCTTTACTACTTTAATTTTCTCTTTTGAATAGTGCCTATTCAAGACTTTGCCCATTTTTCTATTTTATTATCTATATTTTTCCTATTGATTTGAAAGAACTTTTATATATTCTGCACGCTAATTCTTTATTAAGGAGCCAAGGTAGCACAATGGTTAGGTGTTTGGCTGTTAACTGAAAGGTTGGTGGTTTGAACCCACGCAGTGGATCAACAGGAGAAAGACCTGGTAATCTGCTTCTGTAAAGATTACAGCCAAGAAAGCCCTATGGGGCAGTTCTACTCTATTACATATGGTCACTATGAGTCAAAATCGACTTAACAACAACAATCATTTATCAATTATATGTATTATGAATGTATTTTCTTATAGCTTTCTGTTTCCACTCTCTTGGTGATATCTTGTATTACACAGTAATTCTTATTTTAATGTAGTATATCCTTTTTTTAATTGTACTTTAGATGAAGTTTACAGAACAAATTAGTTTCTCATTAAACAATTAATAGACATATTGTTTTGTGACACTGGTTGTCAACTCCACGACTTGTCAAACTCTCCCCTTATCTAATTTTTTTTTTTTATTGACTACTGTATTTGTGACTTGTTTAATAAATCTTTTCCTGCCTCAAGGTCATGAAGCTATTTCCATTTATCTTCTAAAAAGCTTTATTGATTTGCTTTTCACATTTGGACAATAATTCACCTGGAATTATTTTTTGTAGATGGTATAAGACAAGAAATCAGTTTTTTTAATAAGAATACTCAATTGTGTCTGCAACATTAATTGAACAAAACTGTCATTTTCCCCTAATTCTGCAATACCTACTCCTGCTTTATATAAAGAGCAGATATATTCATCTGTAAATAAACTATTCTTTTCCTCTGGTCTATTTGTGTATACTTGCATGTTTACTGTCTTATTTTAATTACAATAACTTTAGGGAGGTGGAGCCAACATGGCACTATGGAGAGAAGCACCACACCATCCTTCCACAACAAAGACCTGAAAAACTAAGTAAAACAGAGACAAACATCAATCCTGGAACCCTAAGCTTCAAATGAAGAGATAAAGAACTCAGCAAGCACCAAATGGAATAAGAAACTGACAGAAAACAGAGAGCTAGGAGAACTACGGGCAGAGGTCCCATATCAGCTAATGCAGCATGGGTTCATCATCTTAGACTCCTGTCAGAGATGGGCCAACAGGGAGCACAGGAAAGTAGCTTCATAGAGCTCCCAGCAGGAGACAGAGCACCCGGTAACCGGCAATATACATTTTCCCTCCCCTCATCCCTCTCCCCCCGCTCTACCTCCACCCATTCCTAAGTGGCTGCAATAGCCGGCTGGGAAGTGCAGGGCCCGTGATGCCTGGATTCGCCCCAACAACATTGGAGATCGGTGGACAGGGAGTAAGGGAAAACAGTGTCACGGAACTCCCAGCAGGAGACTGAACAACTGGTAACCAGTGATATATGCTTTCCCACCTCCCACCCTTCTTCCCCACCACTCGGCCTCATCTGCTTCCACTGACTTCAGTCTGTTCACCAGGAGGCACCAGCTTTGGCCTTATGCCGCTTGGACTCAGCCCACTAACGCTGGCCGGCTCGTTGAGTCCCATTTGTGTGTTGCTGGTGTTGCTTTTATCCACTTCTTCTGGTTTCTTCCGTGTCTCTCACCACCTCCCCCTCCTTTCTCTCAAACACTAGGCTTCATGTGCCATCTTTGCTTCTTCTTGAAAGGCTATGAAGCGCTGCTCAACTGGGGAACTGCTCCCTCTGCCCATGCCGCCAGACTGGTGGGATCCCTGGGGTTTTTTTTTTGTTTGTTTTTGTTTTGTTTTGTTCTGTTTGTTTGCTTTCTTTTTCTTTTTGAGGTTTGGGAGCCCCTTCTAGCCAGGCTGTACTGCTTGGCTTGGGAGCCACTTCTCTGGTCTGCGCAGCCACACCAGTGGGATCCACAGGAGCATTTCTTTTTTCTTTTTGTCTTTTGTCATTTCTCAGTTTTTTATCTTTCTATACTTACCATCTTTTCCAGTCTCCTGATTACCTGGTGCTGTGTGACATCTCTACCCCTTCTAGCCAGGCTGTACTTCACGGCCTCGGAACCACTTCCCTGGTCTTTGCAGCTGCACTGGTGGAATGCCTGGGGGCTTTGCTTTACTTTTTTTTCCTAATTCTTATTTATTTATTTATTTTTATTTTCCTTTTTATTTTTTTCCATTTCTCGGTTTCTTATCTCTCCACTCCAATGGCAAGCTCCCTTAGCACTCTTTTTTTCTTTGGTTTTTGGCTCCTGTTTCTCACTCCTCTCTCTCCTCTTTTTCATATCCATCATAGCTCCACACATCACAATCTCCCCCCTCCTTCCTGCCAACCTGCACCATGCACTAAACATCACACCCCCAAATAACATAGGCACGACCTACCGGAACCTGCCTGCACTGATTCCCAGTCTGCCCTGTCAACTCTAGTATGTGTCACAAACAACCTATCCAAGCCCCTCCCCTTAAGCTGGACCTGCCCTGCTGCACCACAACTGAGTGACTGACCCTGTACATTGGACAAAGAGGTGAAAAGTATCATGCCCACAAACAAGCAAACAGCAAAGATTGCACAGCCTGCCTGCTCAGACATAACCAAATAAAACAAAAAAGCAGGATTAAACAAACAAATCTACAATCAATAAATGAAGAAAAAACTGAAGGTCCCAAAGACAGCAGACAATATCAAAACATATAAAAAAGTGACAAGATGGTTCCAGTAAGCATCCAAAATAAAACACCAGATGACTTTCCAGTAGAAGAAAAGGCACTAGAAATACGTGATAGGGAATTTAAATCTCTAATACTCAGAGTTATCCAAGAATTGAAGCAAAAAGGAGACAAAAATGAGGAAAAAATACAAATTTATAGAAAAAGGTAGAAAATGTCATGGAAAATACAGACAAAAAATGGAAGAAAT